AAATCACGTCACTGTTTGACATTGATATTATAGCTAAAGACATCTCAGTCATTAGATTACGACTATTAGTCACGATCACTTGAAAACAATCTATTATCTGTACAGTCGAGAGCGAAACTGTTGTAACAATTTCTTTCTAGTTCTTTCTTGAAGCTCGTAACTCATCTAATTGTCATATTTGAGGATCATAGATTTGCTCGATAATCAGATATGACAGGACGCAAACTGACTGTACGTGGAGTAAATTTTACCCAGTCTACGCGAAAAGCGTGTTGATATATCCGAAAAAATCGTTGCAATATTGACGCTGGAAGAATTGAAGAATCTTATACTTCAAATATAAGACATCCGACGGTACAAGCTAAACGGCAAATCCAGGAAAAATGTAAGTATGAGAGTAATGCAAGAGGACGCTCACACACTCTCTCTCTCTCTCTCCCTTTCTTTTTCCTTCGCTACTTTCATACTCACTTTTTTCTGGACTTTCAGTCTAAGTTATGCCGTTAGATGTCTCTTATATTTGAAGCACAAGACTTTTCCATTTTTCGAGCATCGCTATTGCTACGATTTAACCCGGAATTGCGAATGTATCAATATGTTTTCACTGGGACTGGACTCTTCATGTAGACTGGGTAAAATTTACTCCACGTACAGTCAGTTTGCCTTGTCATATCTGATTATCGAGCAAATCTATGATCCTCAAATATGACAATTAGATGAGTTACGAGCTTCAAAAAAGAACTAGAAAGAAATTGTTACAACAGTTTCGCTCTCGACTGTACAGATAATAGATTGTTTTCAAGTGATCGTGACTAATAGTCGTAATCTAATGACTGAGATGCCTTTAGCTATAATATCAATGTCAAACAGTGACGTGATTTTTCACGTTGCCTCGATGAAATTTACTTTCGCATATTGTTATTTTAAGTCCTGTAATATATTCGGCGATTGCTGCGTAAGTCCGTGAGAAATAATTCTCAAATGTAACAATACATATACTACTACCTTTGTTAGAAGAAAAAAATGTTGAAACTCGTTTCGCTCTTGACTGTACATGTTTATCCTTGAGTAAAAAAAACAGTGGAAACATAAGGATAATGCATGCTGATTTCTTTACTGCGCGTTTTCATAACGTCAGAACGTTTATGCTTCTTGTTTGAGGCTATTCCAGGGATTATGCTGTAAATATTCCTCTTAGTAAAGTGTTGTACTGAAGTTGAAAACTTTATCGGTAGAATACTGACATTTTTTTCTGCAAAGTTTGCATCGCGTCGGTTGTACGGAATTACAAAATGTCTTTATGCGATGAAAGTACGTGCAAAAATTAATGAACGTTGCTCAATATGTGTCGAAAATAAAGAAAATTTAAAAGGAATTGTAAAATTGCAAGGTTTTAGTTAGCGTAACATTTGCCTGATCTAAAAGTTCCGCAGATTGTACATATTGAAAGTGTAGATGCTTCAAGCAGAAAAATTCTACACATACCTAGTTAGGTTTTGCGCTGAATATGAAACAAAACAACACACATTTATGTAAATTCCGTATATACAAGAAATATGAAAAGGATGATTGAGTTAATGACGATCGCTCTGCGTTATCGAGATTTTTTGAGTTTGTTATCGGCCTCAGCATCCCCTTAACTATATCCAGAATTTATCTATTTGATATGACATCAATCGTATACTTGTGCAGCACATTAAATTGGATAGGAAAGTCTTATATCGTTTCGCTCTATCGTTGTAATTTTTATTAAGAAATTGATTAATAAATATAATCGAATAAGCACATCATTGTTTTTTCTTCTTTAGTGAAAGTGACTACTCTTTCTATCATTTAGGCGAACGTAAATTGAAACTTGATTTGGTTTATTACATATAATTGTAATGTAATGTTATCGATCTTTCGTAATTCGTAGCTTACTATGTGTGTTTAACCACACATACTGTGAGCAGAACTGATAACATAAATTTATTGAAACTTCGTCGATGCACATAATGTTTTCGTCATTCCGCGGTTGCAGTCATGATGATATTTTGGACCTTTGCCTCGCATCTGGTTTTCAGTCAACATTGTTGAAATACTGATATCCTCACAGGCCTGCAAACATACATAAAATGGAAATACACATCATATTTCCGAAACTTTTCATATTCCTGGAATCTGTTGTGGTCTTATATGTAATATTTTTAGAGGCATTATTTGTAAACGCTTTCTTGTTCGATTTAATAAGTATTATTAATAATAAAATTGAAAATAGTCTATTATTTGTCGTATACAATGTATGTACATGGTGCAACTCAGACAGCATAATCTCTTAAAAGATGCTTTAAAGACATCCAAAGAATGTTCTATATTTTTTGGACGTATTTAAGACATCTTTTAGTAATTTGTGTTGTCTGGGAATATTTGCATTCGAGCAAGAAAATAATAAAGAGATAAAAGTATCATATGCTTCATTGTACATTTGATTTCAAAAGTGTTGTTTGTGTATAAAAGCTTATATTTCTCGTATAAAACTATTTCAGACAATTTTGACTGCGAATTATTCTTTTGCTTACTGTTTACAGTATATCTAATAATTAACATTGCTCATGTGCGACTATAGTTCACTAAATTGAACAGAAAAACGTTCTATCATATGCTATTGTTGCAATCGTTATTAAGAAATTAATGAATGAATATTTGCGAAGAATATTTGCGGTTAAGCGGTAGGAGGTTATCACGCATAGAAATAGCTCGACGAAATATGTTTTGGATTCTTCCTGACATAGAGAGGACGATTTGATTGAATCAAACAAACACTTTTTTGGAATAATCTAAACAAATTTTGATCGATCAATGTTTTCTTTGACGCAACAAAAATATTTAGTTTGCGGCTTAGTTTCAACAAAATATTTTTGTTGTGTCAACCAAAAAATGTATTTTGGACCATTCGAAGAAAGCGTTTATTTGATTCAACAAATTTTCTCTGTGCGAGAGCGGTTGTTTCTTCTGTTATTTCAGCATATATAAATTGAAATATTATTAATTGCATGGTTTATTATACACGTGCGTAATTTGTAACATAATTAATACACACGTGTGATACGTAAGATGAATTAATGTAACGAAGTGTCTCTGATAGACTCTCGAGATATACAATCAAATCAAAATAGAAGAAGATTAAATCAGTGTCACCGCAAATATTGGTGCGGGATTTGAACTTAATCTCGCGAGGATAATAATATTCCAACCGTGTCAAACGCAGGCGCCAAGGAATCTCCTAGAGACTTGAAACATGCACGGAGAATTCACGCCAGAATTCCGATTGTTCGATATTCCCGATATCGAATATAATTGATATCGATATTCGATATAAGCCCGATTATTTTAACATTACTTCTTTTGCTCCTTATTCCCGTTATTAATTAAATGAAAAGCATTTTTTATTCATATCCAGGTGTGTTACAAGAAATATTGTCTCAGTCGGAAGTAGCGTGAATTTATTGAAATTTGCTCGCTATATAGAATATTTTTATCACTGAGCAATTGCTATCACGATATCTTGCAGCTGTGTCTTGCATCTGATTTTTAGTTAACACGTTACTGAAACGCTGATATCTTTGAGCTTGTAAATATTAAAATATATACCTCCGACTATAATATCGATGTTTCTCAGTGACGTGATTTGATAGAATACGCTTTCTATATTTCACGAAAGTCAAGGAGGCTACGTAAAAGATTAAATATATTCAAAATTGTGTTTGTGTTTCCGGAAGGAAGTCGTCGCAATTTGAGTAATTTTTTAAAAGGCATTATTTATAGAGATCGCAAGAAATCTGTAGAAATAATAAATTGTATAAAATAAGATAAATATTTAAGATGACTCGATAAAGCAGTGCTATATTTTGCTTTCTTATAAATAACGAGTTAAATTTAGTAGAAAGAAAATATAAATTTAGTAGAAAGAAAATATACATTTTCAATTATTGTTAATGAGTTTACTTCAATTCGTACAGTGAGAAAAAAGTTGGATCGACAAAATTAACAGTCATCCGCTTTTAAATTACGCTGAACAAATTACGCATTAGTGTAACAATAAGTTGCGTTGATATAGTTATTGACCAAATCGCAATTATTGAATCAATCGATGACTCTCATCACAACAATATAATTCGTTCGATCAACTAAACGTTTGCTTGAACAAATTTTCTTCCGTTCAAAGAGAGTCTTATTAATTTAACTATTTCGTTCTCAGTTTAAGATTTGAGTCTATTTCATTAATATTGCAGTAAATTTGATATTTCTACCTTAAAAATCTGATGAAATATATTATTAAATCGAGCTAGTATATATTCAAGTAATAATTTTGAAAAAAATATTACTAAATATTAATATCGTATTAATGTTAAATAAAATAAACCTCACATAGGATCACATACACGCAGAATTAGTTCACGTAAGGAACTTGGAGCTACATCGTGCGTTGCTTTAGCGATTTTACGAAACGCTACGTTCTTGATTTAATTATCCTGCTTGAACTTACGCTCATTAGGATTATTATATTTGTTAAAACTGAATTAATTCTTTTAGTAAAAGCATAGTTACCTTTATGCGTTAGCTACTTCACGCGTTGACGACACATTCCGCTAGAATCAGGTAAGTGGTCAGGTGGACATGAGCTTTTTGAAAGAACTTCCACCATAGTAGTTAATTCCGGATAATCTTCAAATTCTTCTGTTATTGTTATTTTTTCGTAATCGTAGGATTGGCAAAAATTCGGTGGCACCAACTTCAGTATTATTATCATTAATAAAACCCCCGCAAAAAACTTCATCTCGACACAGAGACAAAACCAGCGTTCTTTTTCTATAAATCCAATCGAAATTAGTTGATCCTTTCGTTTTCTGTATCGCGCCTTCTCTTCCTTTTTAATTATTTCGATTAGCGTGACATATACGAATCCCACGTATCGCTTATTCCAACTCGTTACATTCGTTATACTATCATTCTCTATCGTGGTTCTCGTATTTATAACATAGGCGTTACGTTCAATGATGCAAATCTAATGGATTGCTGTGCAATCTGATGACTTGTGAAAAACATCCATGAAATATGGAGGAGGACTTATATCCAGAATATATACTGAGCGCAAACAAATAACTGTCCTCTATTGCGGTATCTTATATGCGAAAGAAAGTGCAAGTATATAACGCGATTAGGAAATTATTAGAGTTGGTAAGTATGTTTTTTTTTTTGTAACGCCGTTATCGTTATTTTTCTTCGAGAATGATCGTTACTTTTCTCTGTTTGTAATGGTAACGGTAATGTCGTTACATTTTTACAACGGTAACGAATTTAACCGCTACTTTTATCGTTAGTTTAGTTATCTTTGTTCAATAGATGAAGTGCTGGTCGCGCGCTAATAGTGTGTATTAAGTATTCTTGATTGGATAAAAATATCTCGATATTCACTGGAAGACAGTACATGATTTTATTTTGTTTTCATGTAAAACTAATTGTTAGTGCAAAGTTGGATTTGCAATTTAGCTGTTAAAAATTTTTAATAAATTTAATAACAAGTATGCTTAGTATAGTTCTCTCTCTCTCTCTCTCTCTCTCTCTCTCCCTCTCTCTCTTATAAGAAACCATGGAATAAGAGAGAGAGGGTGAGAGAGAGAGGAAAAGAATATTATATTAAACATATACGTTATTAAATTTATATTATATTCATTACATTCATTATTCTACGCGTCTCAATGAACATTGTTGAAATGTTTTCCATTTCTAACATAGATGTTCTTTCTAATGACGTAGTCTGTTAGGTTGTATTGTTAAAATCAAAATCAAAATATCGTGATTGTTCGCCGCAATCAAAATTATACTCACATATATAAATTATATTCACATATATATATTATACATATATATAATTATACTCACTTATATATATAATTAAAAAATAAATAAAAATAAACCTAATGTAAGTATTCACAAAGTTTTAGTGAACCATACTCCTCCGCAGTTTCTTATATGCATTGTTTAAAAAGGTTAATACAAACAATTCTATACAGACTCTACGAAGTATATAATTTTAATTAAACATATCTTTTGGCCAGTAAGAGGCGAAGTTCAGATATTGGAGTTCAAATATTAAATGCTGGAAAGATAATAATGTTTAACAGTGTTAACGTACGTGCTAGATAAATTTTCCAGTCTTTATAACGTATGCGATGAATTAAATCTCTCACGTCACCGACTCTGTATGAATCCCAGGCTATATCATTAATATTAATTAACTCCCTTTTTATATTACTTTATGGTTAAACATTTTTAATTCTATTTTGAAGTTGCGAAAAATTAGTACATGTTTCACGGATATAGAACGATGTTATACATTATTTGATAAATGTATGGAAATTATACAGATTCGTATTACAAAATTTTGCGAAATTTATGTAGCCTCCTTGAGTTCCATGAAATATAGAAAGCATATTCTATCAAATTACATCACTGATTAACATCGATATTATAGTCGGAGATATTTTAATTACTAGATTATGACTCGATTTGAGAATAATCCATATCTGTTGATACATGATCCGATATTTGCATTCGAGCAAGAAGAGCAATGAAGCAATAAAGACAACTTCTTCTCATCGTGCATTTGATTTTAAACGCTTTGATTATATAAAAGCTTATATTTTTCGTTTAAAAGTATTTCAAGCAGTAAGTTGTGAATATTTTTTCATTTACTGTATTTTTCATATTTATAGAGTTTCTCATATTTAATCCTAGAACACCATACTTCTCTCGAGTCCCGATTTCATCACATTGGACGTAATGCATCCAGCCACTTTTAACTATCAATATTTCTCAGAAAAGTAAATACCTTTTAACATATTTTGTTTTTTATTTAAACGCCAAAATATCAGAAATATGTCTTCTATCATTAATTACGCGATTGAGGTATCATAAAAAAGAAGTTAATTTTGCAGAAAGACCGAATAAAAGTTTTTCTAATTGCAAAAAGGCTATTTGCTTGAAAAGTTAGTTTTTTGTAACGTTGTATTGTATAAAATCAACTGCCACTTAAAGGTGAAGAATACAACTCCTCCAAAAAACGTGGAACAATAATTTAAACAAAATATATTGCTTTAACATGAAGAATTTTAACGTCAAGACTGATTTCAACAGCATCTTTTTCAACTGCTAAACGGCAGAAAGGGCCTGACTTATGACCCCAGTTATAAAGGAGAGCCAGAAGCTTTTTTTTCTCCAAAATCCTGATCCCCTTATGTATTCATTAATAATTCATATTTATTTGATATATTTATATCAAATAAAAAAATAAAATATCTTTCACTGCATAGAAGCGGTGAGGTTCTTCAATAATAGCATGGGTGTGGTACGTCTAAGTTTGATGTTCTAGAGTTAAAATCACAGACATCTATAATATACCAAAACGTGAACCTCGTTATATACACCCTAGATTCAGTGTTCTTAGAAACTATGTGCTTAAATAACGCATTGGTGGCGGGCTTAGTAACTGACTGGAATGCAGTTACTCTACAAATATAAGAATTTTTCACTTATAAAGTCACTAAATCGAAATGTGAGTGTGCTGTCGGTGTGTATACCTACAAAACAGCGTACACACACACTTGTACAAGTTTGTATTACCGGGACGTCCATGCTCAAGGAGTCAATGCTCGCGATCTAATATATTATAGATGTTGGTAGTTAAGACGATACACCAGTTGTGTACGGTCGTGTACGGCTACAGCTAATTGAACTTATAACGCTGTAAATACAACCAATGTATCTTAAGTTCTTTCTAGCAAGAATCTTTATTGTTTCTGTCACTTTGATGTATGATTGAAATACGATGGTAAATACAGTTTATTATATAATTTATGATATACGTGTGCTGTGGCAAGAACTAGTAACGTGAATTTATTGAAGCTTCATGAGTACAGAATATTTTCGTGGTTAAAGGGAAGCTGAAAACTTTACCGGCAGAACACTGACATTTTTCTGCAAGGTTTACGTCGTGTTGGTTGCACAGAATTATAAATGCTTTTACGCAATGAAAGTACGTGCAAAAATAAATAGGAGCATTGCTCGATATGTGACGAAAATGAACAAGAAATTTTTAATGTAAAATCTTAAGCTGTCAGTTAGCGTAATATTTGACTAATCCAAAAATTCCGCAGCTTGTACATACCGAAAGTGTGGATGCTTCAAGCAGAAAAATTTTGAAGAACATCCTTCGCATCTGCATTTGGAAGCTTAAGAATATCGGAAAAGTTTGCAGAAAGATTCCTACACATATATGGTTAGATTTTCCGTTGAATATGTTAAAACAAGGCAACACACATTCATGTAAGTTCTTTGTATACAAGAAATACGAAAAAGATAGCGTGATTATGTTAGTGACGATCGTCTTGCATCATCGACATTGTTCAAGTTCGTCATCGATTCCAGCATTCCCTTAATATCACGATGTTACTTTGGTCTTCCACCTTACCTTTTGTTTTCAGTTCACATTGTTGAGATACTATTATCGAACCTGCAAAAAAGAATAAAATACACATGTCATATTTCCGAGGAAATACGTCACGAGCTAATATAATTTTTGAAATAGAAGGGGAAACCGGGTTTGGAAGTCACACGGGTCAGTTGTCACGAAACTTATATATCTCTGTCATAAATAAAGGAGCATATTCTATCTCTTTCTTATATTCTTCTCCTTAGTATAGATTGTTTATTTTTAGGTTAGGTGTACAAAACGGTTTATAACACACAGAAACATCGCGTGTAGTATTTACAAGTGCTTTTTGAAAACTGGACGCGATGTGTAAATTTTGTCTCTATTTTTATTGATCCGTTGTTTTTGGCATTTCTGGTCACAATCCTTTTTTATTTATGAGAGATGTTATAGATTTAATATTTTTCCTGCATTTAGTTAACAGTTTCTGCAACATAATTTATAAATATAATCTCTTTTATTCCAAAAGATCGTTCGGGTTAAATCGACTCAAATTAAGTGAGATTAATTGTCACGCATTGTGAGTTCGTCGCTATGATGTGATTTATACAAGAGCATGGAAGCATACACAGTATTACAACAATATCAGCCTGCGTAAGGTGCTATATATATAGCTCAATATTGTTATTATAAAGTTTATGTGAATTATTATCTTCTTAGTTCAATGATTATATATTAAACCTGATTATAAGATTAACACTAACTTTATTAAAACACTTAAAACTTTAAAAAAGAAATAATTTGTCTTGCTCCCTTTACATGAAAGATATGTGACAACTAATCCTGGGAGTATGGAATGGATAATCACATTTGCACGATTTTTCGCTTACAACTTAATAACGTTTTTGTGTATAAATATATATAAGGATATTTTCTTTCTTTTAGTTATTCTTTTCAAAGTTATATCTATATCAAAATGTGCACAATATTAAAAAAATATTGCATACATCTTTTTTTAATCAATGTGTGAAAAGTGTGACGACCAGACCCGGTTTCTCCTATTAAATTTACAAAGCTCGCAAAGAGAGTCTTTTGAAAAAATAAACTATTATCCTCCCAGTATAAATTTCATTTCGCACTAGACATTTGCGAATAGCTTAGAGATTTTAATCCTTTCTCGCTTCAGTTATATAAATTTAGTTACATAACAGAGATATAAATCTAATACGGTTTGATAATGTTTTATAATGTTGCGCTCTCTCACGCTCGCGTCTGGGTTGACGAGTAAATAACCACGTAAACCATGTAAAATTATTTAAGCCCTTTAATTCCATTACGCACAACTCGCTGAATAAATTTCGTAATCGCTTGTTCTCCAAAGGTATCAAACGTCCGCTCGCCTCAGTAGCCCATTTGAAATTCGACTGTCACTCTCTGTTTACTCGACGTTACGAGGAACTTTATCTGTTCAGACTGCAATTGTTTACATCAAAATTATTGATACTAATCGATATCGTTCCCATGCGAAAGCGCAGGTGCAACAACATACTGTCTTTTTACAAATTCGGATAATGCAGGTTTATCGAAAAGAAAGTTTACTCCTTACTAATTTCGACAGTTAAATATTTTATACTGATTTTCTTTTTATTTATTATTATTTTTATATTATATTATTGCTACTTTTATTTTATTTATTTATTATTTAAATGTTATACTTATTTACATTTTTATACAACACTTAAGACTGTTGTTAATGTTATGACTGTTGTTGATGATGTTGTTAACATTATCAGTATTATAAATTGCAGATAATTCAACATTTCTCATCATTAAGCAGTGTATCTCTCTCTTTTTCTGAAGAAATATATAATCAAATAATATAAAAGCAAATATAAAAGCAATATGTAACAATAAAATCTCAAAAAAACAACCTCAAAAAATAAAATCTCAATAAAACAATCTCGGAAATATTATATTAATGATAAATAAAAAGAATTGAACCTGTAATTAAATTACACAAATTTACAATAGTTTCCATATAAACTTGCCACTGAATTATACGCTGAATTTTTTAACAACGCTCTGAGGCTTTATTCAATTATGCCGTTTGGAACTGTTGTCCATTAAGATTTATACTACTTGTTAAAATTAAATGCATTGTTTTAAAGATATATTTACCTCTATTTGTCAGCTATTTCATGGGATAATTTCATGGTGATATATTCTTGTATAATCCCGTCTCTTCTCTAGTTAGGATCCGGACATATGGCTTTTATAAATAATCTTATAAACATGTTAATCAAAAAATTTTTCGTGTATGTGTGTGTGTATGCTATTTTTCACGATTCTTAATTGGCAAGAGTTCGGTGGCAACAAATTGAGTATCATTATTATTAATAGAATAGAATACAAAAATGTCATCTTTTGATATTTAGAGATTCGCTAAAATCAAATTGAAATTTTAATCAATCCTATTGTCTTTGACTATCTCCTCTCTTGGATTCTTTCTTCTTAACTCTTTTGATTGGCGTCACTTTACTTATCATTTATTCCATTTTCAGTCGTTAAATTCGTTATTCTACTTGTTCCAACGAGTCTTTCCTCATCGTATTCTTTCTATTTATAATAAAAACATTGCTCCCAATCACGCAATCTGTTGGACTGTTTCTCAAGTTTCAAAACTCAAAGATGGAAATTGAAACCTGACGTTATTCGCTAAGATCACATTCGTGAAAATATAAGTGATGTAAATAGAAGAATATACAGTCGGAATTTAAAAAATATCAGAGCTTAAAAAATACAATATAAGGAGGAATTGATAGAAATACGTACAAATTTCAATGAAAAATTATACGATTTTATTTAAACTTTATTAGTTTTACCAGAAATTTTAATTTCTCCTATTTCAATCTGTATAAAAAAGTGAAATCTTCCATTTTATATCGTAACTTATCTCCAATACATTAAATATATTATATTGAACGATTAAATATTTGCTGAACACGCAGGCGTTTCCATGTACTTTTATTCGTTTTTTTTTTAAACACGATTCAGTTACATAGGTTTTTATTATGTAATTCTATCAAATCTTTCAAGCAGGGATATACGTTCGATTCTTAAGCGTGAATCATCCTTTTCCGCAATTCTGTTTTATTATTCGTATTATTCTTCCTTGTATGTTTCTTGGAATATTGGGAATTATATTTTCCTTTATGTGTTTCTTTCGATTATTTATTTCCTTGTATATTGCGTTCTTTATTTGATGTGTTTTAATACAAATCAGAACGATATATATCAGAAATCGAAATATTTTGCCTGTACATTAATCCCGCAAATATGATTGAATTTAAAGGATTAATTCTCAAAGATCTTCAATCAAAATCTCAAGGTTATACAAAATCGGTTTCTTATACATGTTATCTCGAAAAAATAATACAACTTTAACATTAGTATATAAAAATTATAAATACTATATGATATAATTTAATAAAAGCACTCAGGGAATAAACGCCAACTAACAGTGACATTACATCAGACTTATAATTTCTTATTCAACATTGTAACTGTTATATAACACGCGTTATATTGCTTTTACATTGTTGAGTGGGAAATCAAAATATTGATGTTGTGTTACTGACAGTTAGTGTTTACTGTGTATTATACAAGTCTCAATTGTGCAAAAGATTGCTAATTTTGCACGTTCCGTCAACTCGCGTGCGGAACACAGCACTCCATCAAGTCACGTCACTGAGTAATATCTTTATGACCGAGGGTGTTTTAAAAATATCATGCCTCGAGATCACCGGAAGATTATCCATTGCTTGTCGGTAAACATACGTTGCGAGGTTTAGTATCTCAGCAAGATAACGTAGACTTCGCGTGTGACTTTCTGGTCTAAGCTACTTTTAAACGTTTCGTCTTTGTACAACTTACTTATATTCTGTGAAATTATTCTAATAATAGATAACTGTGAATACAAAAATTAAAATTATTCTAATAAGAGATAACTGTGAATACTTCTCTTGTTTATATTGTAAATACTTGTAAATAATAGCAATAGTTATAATAGAAAAAAATATTTATTTTCTATTATAACAATATAAAAATATATTTTTTCTATTATAACAATAGTTACAATGGAAAAAAAATATTGACTGAGTACGTGCAAAACTTCTCCTCTTCTATGACACGAGTGGTTTTTTTTCTTTAAAAATATTTCTATTCCAAATTTCATAGTAACTCATCGTGAAAATTTTCGCACGCCCAATTCTTGAATGACGCGCAGTTAAATCGACAGAAATTTGTTTATGCTACTTTATTAGGTTACATTGTGAATTTTATTTTAGAATATAGAAAAAGTATCGTAAAAAAGTTATAAAAATTATATCAGAATCCATATTATGGTTGACGAGTTATCACATAATTACACAACATCGCAAAATAAATAACATACGCTGTTAACCGCATTCAATAAAAAATTGTTGATTTATCGTAAATTTCACTGCTAGTGATATAGTCTCTTTTTCCCTCTTTCTCTCTCTCTCTTCCTCTCATTCTAGCCTCTCCTCGTTTTGTTCCTCTTTTTGTCGCTGTTACGATATTTCATCGCATTGCTTGTAGCCCTCGGATGACATCGTTCGTATCGTCGGATCTGCAAACGAACATAAAAAAATGGCATCGCGCGAATAAATACTGCAATAAAAACCTCGACATCTTCGTTTCGCGACATAAAAAATGAATTATGTGTGTGAAGGCTTAGAATTTTTTCGGTGTTTTCCTTTTTACATGCTATAAATTCTGTTCCATTGGGCGCATGCTATTCGAACAGCCGTAGAATGAGCCGGAATAATACGATTGGCGGAATAAACGGCTGGAATATGCGGGAACGCTTCGTAACAGGACGCGAAAATACGTGCTTCGCGTGCAACTTCAACTGGAAAAATTCGTGTCGGAAATGCAAGACGCAAATATGTAATGTTAACAAGGCACTTTATCACACAATTGTCTGACATGGGAATTACGCACTCGTGAATTGAAAGTCGACTTGCGTATATAAGACAGCAATGAATATCTTGATAGGATTTTGTGAGCTTCATAGATGCGCCATAATACCTTCTAGCTAATTTTAGCGTTATGTAACTTTCCGTATGTGTGTCTTTTTATGTTAACACGTTTTTAATTTGGAGTTTCATGTGATTGTGATAATAGCAAAAAGTGATATCACCGCGAATCCAAGTGTGTTGTTTTCAAACGCACGACCGTGTAATTTGGCTGATGCTCTTTCTACATGTTTCTTATCGTTTCAAATCGTCCGCGTCGCGTAATACGTTTGAGACATGTATATTACAATTTCGTACATTCAAACGCGTTAAATAACTTGACTTAAAGCGGAAAAAAACGTATAAAAAAAGATTCAGCCGAAATAATACTTGGGTTTGCAGTGATGTTACAAATAGCAACGTCTCATAAATTTCTTGCTGAAGAAGATTGATTGCGATTTTTTTTTCAAGAAATCTGTGTTATTGAAATATTTTCGGACATTAAAAACGAATGAAGAACAATTTATCTCTTACAATAGCGAAAGTTCACTTTGATATATGTTTATCAAACTTTTCTCAAAATATCTGAACAAATGAACACACATAACCTTGTTATGTGTCATTAATCCTAGAACTCTAAACACTCAAAAGTTAGGTAAACCATAAACATGGATAAACTTTACCCAGCGCATTTTTATTTGCTCATAATTTCCGGAAAAATGACCGAAATTCAATTTTTTTTTTTTTCAATCGATGTAAAAAATATTAATATAAATCTAATTTTTTACGATTCAATGAAGTTGAAAAAAGTTATAATGAAAAATTAAAATACATATTCTTAAGCACAATAACGTTTGAAATATTAAAAATGGGTAAATTTTACTTATTTTTAGGAAATTCTAAAATTAGGAAGTTATGAAAATTCTGTTAACTTATTCGTTCTTGCATTTTCCGATCGATCGATTTCCGACATTAGGAACTTTGTCCGCAAGCTCGTTCCAAAAGGTGAATGTACAAGATCAATATTTTAATTCACTTTTTATACGGTGACCAGATTTCCCAGGTTTAAATTCGGGACACTTGATTAATTTGTGGAGCGCAGGGAAGGAAGAAATATTACTGAAAATTATATATATAAAGTATTTATATATATAATATTATATGTATAAAATATAAATTAAAAAATGAAATAATATATTTTACTTATAAATATAAAAAAATAATTTAACAACAAGGAAGATCTGCTGCATAGAGTAAAACTAAAAACTCTTGCTAAAATAAGACCTTGGTTATCTTTACTTAACATTAAGAAGAAGAAGCAAAGCCGTGAATTTTCTTGAGGTCTTTTTTTGCTAAAGGATTTTAGAAATCCCCTCTAAACTGGAGCAAACCGGGACTGTTTGACCGAATCCGAGACAAATCGGCGTCCCGGACAGCGTTCGAAAAAATGGGACAAAGGATGTAAAACCGAGACTATCCCGGGAAAAACGGGACGTCTGGTCACCTTACCTTTTATATCTGCTAAATTTCATGCCAATTTGTTCTTTTTTTTGTTACGCGTCCTTTCGATATTTCTACGTTATTCAGCAAGATACTGCACGAATTTACCTTTATGAATCTTCTTATTTCCTCAGAATATCTCGGCATACGCCATTGGTATCGCGTCGCTGATCAGGCGAGCACGGGATTTCTGGTGCAACTATAATATTATGGATATCAATTTTGGGTTTATTCTGCTTCAGCGATTTTGTAGTAACGCTCGGTAACGTTGTAGTAACTTGCTGATTTCTGTTCGTTGAAGGTCGGCCCGCGATCGTCATCGTCAACATGACGATCATTAACAGCGCGATCACTTGAACTTTCATGCTGGATATCCGCCACGAAGTATATAAGTCGTCACGAACGTCCGTTCCCGATAAGACTGTGAACGCGCGATGCACGAAACGCTTTCTCTATGTCGAGAAAGCGGAAACGTTTGCACGGTTTTCTCGCCAGTCACCCGTTATTTATAATGCTGTCGCTAATAGTGCTGCGTAGTGACTGATTAATATTTTGTCACGACGATCCACAAACCGATGAAATTATATCATCGTTTATTAATAGACGTCTTCGCGGGAATTACATTACGTATACGCGATGGCGCCAGAAGTTACGTAAATCTTTGATAAGAGCTTGATATAACAAATATAAGTGACGTTGCACATCGTAGATACGGGAAGATACGGTCGTTACATTTCAATTTCAACTTCTATGTTGAATTTCTACGTTGAAAAACAGAATTGTTTACGTGTAAAAAAAAATACTCTGCCACAATGACCTTGATAAATTAAGTTTTAGCTTGGATTTGTTTTTTTTTATATCTTTAGATCACAAATATCTAAGGCGAAATCCCTCGATACATAGTTGTTTGATATCATAATTGAAGACGATGTTATTACTTGTTTTTTCAGTATGTTTAATCTCCATGCGAATTTTTCGTCTCGTCATTACGTATGTATTTCTCTAGTGGCGTGTTCAAATTATAATTGTATTTTGCATTTCTGTTTATCCAAGTTGTTTATTTTTCTGCATATTAATTTGTTTACATCATGCGCGTTATAAAGTTCTCTTCAATCTCAGGTTAGTCTTTCCGCATGAATATTTTATATTAAAATATATTCTCTCGCCGTTGCGCGTCAATGATGTATTTGAAGATGTTTAGCGCGATTTACTTAAGGTTATCGGAACGGCCAAGTGTCGTTTTGCATTTCAAATGATGTCCGTGTGAGATCCTATAAATATGCATATGCGAGTGGCTCAGAAAATATCTTGTCCACAGGATTGCGTGAGTATCGTGATTACGATGCCGAATAATAGAGAGAGAGAGAGAGGGAAGCTTAGAACTCCACGGAAGTAACTTCCGAATAAAACGCGCGAAATACCGAGGATATTAAACGAACAATAAAAAAAATTTAACCGTTTATTGTTGTTCGTATATTAACACGGGTTGTTGAAAAAGCACTCTGCTTACTTTTTATAAAATAAACACCTCACAGGAAATGTTAGTTTCCAGCATGAAAAAGTTGACACGCAGAAAAAATAGATAGACTTTTGGGACGATAAAATTTGGCCGACAAATATTTGACCTCTGGTGTAAATAAAGTTTCGTTTTTAGTACGAGTATAACATGGGCCTCTCAAAACAAGCCCGAGGTTTCTGGGTTGGAAAAAAACTTTTTGGCGAGAGAAATCTGATTTTTAAGGTAAACATTATTTAATTTTTATTCGAATTACAAAGCGAATACAATGCTTACCAATGTGGTGGGGAAAGTAGCTGCGATTAAGTAAATTTGGCTACGTGCGTGTTCTATAAAAAATATTAAAAATGTGTATTAAAAATATTAAAAATATAAAAAATATTAAAAATTAAAAAGTTTAATATATAATAATTATAATGTATATTATAATGTATATAATATTACAATGTATATAATAATTATAATGTATATTATAATTTAATTGATAAACTTGGATGCAACTCTGAATAAAAATCTGAGTGTCTCATGTAAGACAAGTTTTAATTCAGTTTAACATTTAATTTTTATAATTATTCGACTTTTATGTCCGTGTATATATAATAGCTGTCACCTGAAACTTGTCTCACGTGAGATATAGTTTTATTTTGCAGATTCGAGCCCATATAGCTGTCAACTAAAACTTGTCTTACATGAGATTTTTATTCAGAGTTGCATCCAAGTTTACCAATTAAATTATAATATACATTATAATTATTATATACATTATAATATTATATACATTATAATATACATTATATTATTAATATAATATATATTTAGACTCGTATTAATAGTCATTACTTGGAACTCGTCTCAAGTGAGATACTCAGATTTCAGGGTTAGTTAAGAGTTTTTCCTTGAGAATTGAATCCTGATTACAGATGCAAATACATGTATTATAATCTAATTGAAGAAACTTAGATCTAACTCCGAATAAAAGTTATCCGAGTATCTCGCATAAGACAAGTTTCAAGTGACAATTATTAATGCAAATTTCATTTTAAATTCAAATTTGAGAATCTCATTTGAGACAAGTTTCAAGTAACAATTAATATATATCTTAGATTTAGACCCAAGTTGTTTACTTGAATTACGATATATGCGATATTTGTATATTTGTAATCGCGACTTAAAATCATGTATAAAAAAAATAATGTAACTTAACATTATAAGTTTGGATCGGATAGTATATAATATAGATTGTCGCGCGATATGTGCATAAATATTTAACTAAAATGACATTTTAACTAAAATAATATTCAACTAAAATGACGAAATGAATTTTGAATGGCAGGCGCGATTTTGCGATAAAAGTCCAATGCGTATTGCATCGTGATTCAAGATCTCAGTGCTCGCGTTATATCGTAAAATCGCACGCCCCTATTTCTGACATGTTTGCGTCACATACACGCTGCGTACACTCTGATGCGGTTATTCTCTGATACGTTAATAACAATTCACAAACACAATTCCCCTCCCCGAGCGCTCGAGATTTGGGCCGCTGGGGAGGTATCGCGGTCCGTCAGTCGCAGGTTAAAAACTGGCGGTGCAGAAAAAACCAACTAACCGTATGGAAACGTTAATCAATACAAAACCGGCCTCCACTGTCCGTTCGCGTCACGGCGATACCTCGTCCCGTCCCGCTCGATCTCCACGGATTGCCATTCAGGTGCGGTGATGATGTTCCTCTTGGCTCGTCTTTTAATCTCGCTGCCGTCCTCCGCGACTGCCGGCGTCTCCGTCGACAAAACGCCACCGTCGACATCCACCGTCTTATCCGGCGCGATTTCTGCCGCTTTCTCACCGTCAGCCGGCGGCGTTCTTTCAGCCATTGTAACGCGCTCTCTCGATGTCGAGTCTTTAAACGATTTTCGATAATCCTATTTTCGCCGTCTAATCTCACGATGGATCCTTGTCTGTCAGACTGACTTGCTGCGAGGGAGGTCGCTCTGCTCTTGAATATTAAATAATAGCCTTGAATCTTAAGCGGCGACTCTTTAAACTTGAAATATCGTGAAGGGAGAGCACGGCCCTGCATTATAACCGCGGAGTTTAAGTGATATTCTGAGACGCGCCGGGCTAATATGCCCCGAAAGAAGGACGGGGGGGAGGGAGAGAGAGAGAGAGAGAGGAACGCTCTCTTGAATATTCTTCGAATAATTTTCCCGAAGTGATCCTTTTTGAGATCTTACATCTCGTATTCCTTAATCTTTAACGATATTCTCGAGTTATACGGATGATATTGCCGGTGATCTTCCTCAAGTTTCAATGGTTCTACAACCTTCTCTCTTTCTTCAACACTCGTAATTACTCCGCCGGACTTCGACTCTCATTTTGTGACTTCTCAAATAGCACTTTTAGACTCGGAATGATACTTCTAGGGAACGAGTGTCGTCGAGTCGCGGCACGATAGTGCTAAAGCTGGCAAGATCTCAATTTTTAGGAATGTATATTGTCACGTCTTAGTTGTTTTTTAAAACGTGTTAATTGTCCTTTTTGGGTCAATGGATTTAACCACTTTACCCTGGGATGGACAAGTTCGTGTGATTGTGAGTGAGTAAATGTGTAAATGTATGTGTGTGTATAAAATAATTATTTTACTTACTGATTTTGGTTGTAATGATTCTTTCTTTTAAGAAATTTTAAATTATTTGAAGTTCTTCTCGTTCTGTAGTAACAGAGAGACTGAAGAGCTTAGGATCGGACTTAAGAGGTTGGTGTAGGTTTGGAAATATGAATAAAGTGTAACGTGACGCTTAGGTCAGGGGATATGTTAGGAAAATAAACCTTTATGTTTCCAGTGACTTATTTACGAATTTTAATGTTTTATCTTAGTGACCCAATTGTTATGTATATTGTTTGAATTTTATAAGTTCAATTAATTAATTATAAATTGACTGATTGATCGTCTGATTGATTGACTGATTCCTTGTTTCTAGTCTGATTTCTTGTCTCTATTAGAATTATTACTTCTTGTTTCTATTAGAATTATTACTTCTTATTTCTAGTCTGATTTCTTGTCTCACTACTACTGTGTGGGCAGTCACACCCGTTTTTATAGGCAGGTGGCGAGATACCCCCGCGTGAGTTCTCACCACCTTTTAGTAGAAGGGGAAAGATGTTTCTCACGACATGTGAGTAATAATCAATAGTGAAATTTTGACACCTTATTATCAGTCCATTGTTCTTTGACCACCTAGGGCATTTATTGCATTCCTGGTGGTAACAGAAGGTGCACTTGGTCGAACTGAAGAGAAATTACGTCGGACGTAACAATATAGATGTTTAGTTATTAATTTAAGGAGATTGGTGCATTATTAACTGTACACCAATCTTCTTTAATTGATAACTAAATATGTACGTGGTCATTTGGAAAATAGTAAAAACAGGACTTTTTTGTTCAATTTGACCCAATATATAAGCATGTAGACGTCGCTATCACAGCTCATCTACCGTATGGCGCATGATCATTCATGAATCTCCTTTGATTAACAACTCAGAATTTTTTCGTTGTTCGCAAAATGAATTTTTCGTTCAGTTTGACTTAATCTACCTGTATACCGCGACTCTTCTGTGAGTTACCCGACACTCTATATATTACCAATTACGCGCATTTATATAATACTACATATGACTATATACATTTTCAGGGTTGGGAAGTAACTCGTTACTTGTAACGAAGTATAGTATTATAGTTGCAGTTATATTTCTTCGGTAACTGTAACTTAACTTAGTTACTTATTTTTAGTAACTTGTAACTTTTTTAACAGTTACTTTAATAGTTACTTGGGGAGCGCAAATAAAATTAAAATTATATAGTAATCGTATATTAATTTAATAAATTTGTCAACGTATTTATGGAGTATGTGATTAAATTCTTTTATCTCTCTACAAGACTGTCATTAAATTTTTATTATATTAAGTATATATTTGAAATTTGTTAAGTGGATAGACTAATTAATGTGATAGATATTAATTATAAAATTTAATTTTTATATTTTAGTGAAACTCGAAATGTAAGACTTTTGTATTTACAATGCTAGTTTACAATCATTTAAAGAAAGTAACTTAAAAGTAATGACTCGTTACTTTTTGAATAACTAACTGTAACGAGTTACTTTTCAGCCAGTAACTTGTAACTGTAATTAGTTACTTTTAAAAAGTAACTTCCCCAACCCTTCCCCTATATTTTCGTTTAAAATCGAATTTTAATATAAATGACTGATATAAGAAAGGATACAGAAGATACAAAGAATATAAAAAAAATGTCTGAGATTTGCATTTTCTACTAAAATAATTGGACAACTAAAATATTTTAACAACGAGAAAAATGAGCACAAAATTTTTCACTATTAGTACGAATTATTTTATATCTTGTATTTTTATTAAACTAATTTATCATTTACTCTAGTCATTATAACGCTTGATTAAAAATCTAAAAGCAATCAGTGTTGCGTGAAGGGTACGCTTGCGATGGATGAGCGCAACTGCCATGCACAAACTTACAAATCTCATGCTTACTTGGGTTTTCACGACACAAGTCAGAAACCAGAGGGGTTTCTTTACGCTGTTCGCGACGTACATCAGGTTGTCCGATTTTGAGTTAGAGAACTTAATTTCTTTACTCTCGGGACTGGATTGCGAGCGAAGGATTAAGGGTTTGGATTAAGAGCGATTTAGTTATGTGGTGAAATGATTAATTAGACATCAGTTCGCAACATAATAGAAATATATATATAT